AGAGACCGAGGGGAGACTTCCGGCCACCACCCTGGAGGTCCTTGCGCCTAGTTCCCTTCACCCGCCCCAGGGAGAGATGCAGAAAAACACTTCGCTGCCGCCCGCATCTCCACCCTTGGCCTCGAACGCTCTGCAGGGTGCGGGCCGGCAGGCCAGCCCGTCCGGAGCCCCTAGCGAGAGTGAGACTGAGTGCCCAGCCAGCCCCAAAGTCCGCCAGAAGCCCAGCATATCCAAGGTGATCCTGGGGGCTGTGGCCCACAAGGGGGCGCACAGACACGTGCCGCTGACCACGCTGAAGAAGGCCATCGCCACCGCAGGCTACAACATGACCCAAAACGCCTGGCGCTTCAAGCGAGCGGTCAAGGGGCTGGTGGACAAAGGCATGCTCAAGCAGGTGACCGGCAAGGGGGCCCTGGGCTCCTTCCGCATTGGCAACAAGTATGCCTCCAAGGTCAAGGGCAGGTCCCAGAGCCGGCGCCAGTCTGGGCAGCGCCGGTCTGGGCAGCGCAGGTCTGGGCAGCGCCGATCCGGGCAACGCCGGCCTGGGCAGCGCAGGTTGCAAGCAGGCTCCCAGAAGGGGCACAAGCGACTAAACAAGGGGGTTCGCAGGGTGGCCAGATGCCGCCGCAATTAACGAGGCAGGCCAGGCAAGCAGGCAGGGGTGCCAGGCCCGCCAAAGGCTCAGTGCAGTGGAAATAAAAGGAGCCTAACTTATTTCACATCTGCCTCCTGGAATCTTTGGGGCTCAAGGGGGTGGGAGGGGAAGAAGGCTGGGAACAGAGGAGGGTAAGGCCGTGGGGAGCGGGCACCTGGGCAAAATAAGGGTGAGATGGATTTGGGAAGGGCTGGGGGAATTGAAAGCATCCACAGACATTAGCTAGTTCAATGACAACATCAGTGATGTTGCAGGTGGAGAAACCAGGGCCAGAGAGCGTCATGGTAATTGTGTGACAGAACCCAGCCTGGAACCATACATGGTGTGAGAGTGTCTGTGTGTGTGTGTGTGTGTGTGTGTGTGTGTGTGTGTGTGTGCAGCCTCTTAGGTTGCTTCTCACCCCCCCCCCAGGGTGGCAGCGAGCCCCCAGACCTGGCTGGCTCCCCACCCTTGCCCATCCCAGGTTAAAGTCTCCCGTGGAGACCAGGAAATGAGAAGGCTGGGTCAGGGAAGGTCAAGCCCAGCAACCAGTCAGCCCAGAACTGGAGCTCAGAGGCCAGGAGCGGACCCCATCATCCCAGGGCAATCTGGCTTGTCTGTGCTGCTCATGGAGGTTAGAGGGTCCACCCCAACAGTCTAGGGGGGCTCCCACCCAGCCCCCCGCTTTCCCCTACTCACTCAGAGGTGGCCAGGTCTCTCTTCAGCCTGTGGGAAAGCAAGGGAAGGGATTAGTTATTACCCATAAGCCTCTCCTGGTTCCAGGCCAGGCAAGAGGTCCCCACTCCTTTCCTGGATGAGGACCCTGCTCCCTGAGAGGTCTGTATACCTGGGCAGCCACAGTGCCCTCCCTGCCCTCTGTCCCCCACACTCACTGTCCCTCCCGCCGGCAGCACATGATGTAGGCCAGCAGCAGGGTGAGTAGCAAAGCCACCAACAGTGGCACCAGGAGGGTGACCAGCGCATCAGTGAGGAAGTCTCGGGCCGTGGCCTCAGTGGGTGGGCAGAAGAACGGGTCACGTTCCAGAATCCCATCGCCTGGGGTGGGCACGTCATCTGCAGGCTCTGGCACTGACTTATCCACCTGCTCAGAGAGCCCAGTTGGCTAGACACAGAGACCCCACGGGGACAGGGCAGGGGTGCCCCCATGCCTGCCTCCCCCACCTTGACCTAGCAGGACAAGCACTGGAATAAGAACCAAGACAGAAAATCTAGGAGAGACAGGTCCATACAGTGGTTAGAGCACACCTCTAGGGTCCTCCCGCCTGGGTTCGAATCCTGATTCAGACAAATGCTATGCTGGATGACTTACCTCCAGCTGCCTCAGTTTCTTCCCCTGCAAAGTCAGAATGCTAATAGTGGTACCTGTCTCTGGGGTGGTGGGGAGCACACAGCAAGTGCTCAGAGTTGTTGATTATCAGTCTTTGGCCGCACTGTCGGTCAATTCACAGGGACAGAGTATTCCAGGGGTTCCCAGCCCGGGGAGCCGGGGTCTCTAGGAACCCTAGATAATTCTGTTCAATATCCCAAAGGGCAGTAGCGAGCATCTTTGGTTTATAACTTGGAGGTGGAAACTATCTGGAAACTATCCCAGGCAGATTTGGACACCTCGGAAGGAAGCAGACAGAGCTGTCCCAAAGAGTACCCTTGTGGGGAAAGGGTGCTGGAATTGCTCTACGGGAGCAACTATTGGAGACTGCTGGAGCCGGGAGATGCCTTTCCTGGATTATGGACTCTGTCGCCCTCTCGTGGGACGAGGTGGAACTTCGGAACGCGCGCATCCGAGCACGGCGGGGTGGGGGGAGGGGGCGGGGTGTGGGGACGGGGCAGGGAGGGGTTGCTGTTGCGCGCAGTGTCTACTCAGAGAAAGAAACAGGAACAGAAAGATGGGGTGGGGAAGAAGGGTAGGGGGGAGACTGTGATGGGGGGCATGCCCCATCCCCATCCCCAGAGCCAGGGCCCCTCCTCACCAAGGACACATTGCACCAGTCCACACGAAAGTGAGGTGCCAAGGTGTCGTAGCAGGACAGAAGCGGAGGCTGGCCCTGGGCGCAACGAGCATGGCTGTCGGGAGATGCCACCATCTTCAGGCAGGTGGAGAAGGGTGAGGCCGAGCCCACCTTGATGTAAACCCTGGGCCCAGATAGAAGCCACGGTTAACAAATTGGGGAGGGGATGTACACTGGGCACTGGAGGTTTGGGGGTTGCGGGGCCACCTTGAGACCTGGGTTATGAGTGAGAGTACATAGCTCCACATCCTTCTAGGGGGCCTTACACTCCCACGAATGTCTTTGGGTAGCTGGATCGTTTACGTCCTCGTAGGGTACCAGGGAGTGCGCCGTTTGGGGTAACTAAGGTTTGGGCTCCTCCTCCAGGTGGCCCTCCCGGATTGCACGCTTACCCTTCCTTGCGACCTTCAATGGGAAGGGGGACGCGACCCCCACGGTCCAAGGCAGAGGTAACGTTGAGTATCTGGAGCTCCCCTGACTCCCAGAGCCCTCCCAAGGCTGTGAGGAAGCGACTGGCGGGCGTCGAGGGCAGCACTTCCTCCACATCGTGGCTTCGAACCAGGAACTCAGCCTGGTAAGGCAGCAGGGGGCCTGGAAATGCCAGGTTGGCACCCAGTTCTGCATGGATCCTTCCCAAGCCTCCCCCCCCAACCCACACTCAAGCCCCTCCCCATGCCCCCTGACTCCTCCCTTCCTCCCTAAAATCCCCATGCATCACAGGCCCCAAATGCCCTCCCTGTGGCCTCAACGACTTGCCCAAGGCCCCACGCACTGTCAGCAGAACAGCCAGTTTATACAACTCTAGAGCCCTCCCATGATGCCCGGCTCCCACTACGCCCAAGTGTCCCCTTCACACCCCCCTCCCTCCTTCCAAGGGAAATCCCCCAAGACGGGCTTGGTGGGTGGGAGTGGGGCAGGGGTATGGCTGGTGGTACCTTCTGGGTCTCCAATCAACAGCACCAGCCTCTGCCAGGTGGTGTCAAAGCTGTCCCGATTGTACGCTATGACCTGGCAGGGGGAGAGGGGATGGGGAAGAGGGCTGAGGGACGGGGTTAGGGGACAAGACATGTGGAGAGGACAGAGACGCCCTCACCTAAGAGGCATCTAAATTATGTAAATGAACATGAACGAATGCCCACATGGGACCCAGCCACTGGGGTCCCTGCTGGTACCTCGATGACCTGGCGCCCACGATCTTCTGGGGTGGGGGTGCCGTAGAGGAAGCCAGGGTGGTGGGGGCTGCGCTGGGTGTAACGGAGCCACCGAGGCAGGTCTGGGTGTCCCTGGAGGTGGGCGTGGTAGGTGATAGGGACGGTGGGTGGGACATCTGGTGAAAGGGAGGAGATTGGAGAAATGACCGGAGCCTTCGCCAGCCCCTGGCCAGTCCCCAGCCGTCCGCCCAACGCCCTTGGGGCCCCTCTCACCAACGTGCTCAGAAAGACTGGGGAAGGTTTCCTGGTCCAAGGTGTGCACGAAGACGCGGCCCACAAGAGGCTGCAAGGTGGTCTGCTGGGCCTCGGTGTCCCCCAGCCCTGCCAAGAGACCTGTGGGGACCCCAGAACCCCCAAACACACGCATCAGCCCTAGTATCAGGCAGGGGATAAGCTCCTGGTGCCCCTAAGAGACAGAAGTGGTGGTGGCGGGGGCGGGGGGGGCGGGGGGGCTCTCAGGAAAGGACAGGGTGGGGCCTGGCTGTGACAAGTCCTAGACCTTTGTTGGTTTGGGTTCGTGGGAGCCCCCTCCCCCACTCATTTTAGGCTTCCTTGGAGGAGTCACAGTGGGCGGGGACTGCTGTCGGCCTGAGAGGGGTGTGAGATGGGGGGGTGGTGTATGTGTGTTAAAGGCACTTGGAAAAGAACCCTTAAGAATGCTGGGTGTCTGGGAGGCTGGAGGGGAGGGGGAGAGGGAAGGAAATTTTGGAGGAGGTGGGTAGCCATTCTGGAACCCTCTCCCCTTTCCCCGCATACACGGGGAGAGGGACCCACAGGAGAGGCCAGGAAAAGCTGAGCCAGTAGGATCCTGTGCCCCAGGGAGAGTATTTGCCCCAGCGGGCCCCCACACCCTCACGGCCAAATTTAGCCTGGGCCTAGAAAGAAGGCAGACCAGCCAGCCCATTAAAGGGCCCATGACGCTCCGGGCCTGTGCCGTCAGGCCCACCTCGGCCTAGGGCGCCCCACCCTTCAGAGCTCCGGGCCCCCCACTTCCCGGAGCCCTGCTCCCAGCCCCATTTCCCTGGACCTCCCACCGGACACAGCATTAACACCCCAAAGTCCTCCTGGCTCCTGCCCCCAGACTCCTCCCCTGAGGGACCTCTGTACTTTCGCCTCTCCACCCCTAAATCCTGTCCCTTCATCCTGGGCCTCCTCCCAGAAGAAGGCCCCAACTTGCCCACAAGGAGAAGAATCCAGATTACTGCTGCTGCCATGGCTGCCCCAGCCTGCCCGGCCCCCGTGAGTGACAGAGACAGGAGCGGTGGGGAGGAGAGAGGGAGGGGAGGAGGGAGGGGAGGAGAGAGGGAGGGACAATGGGGAGGTGTCCCAGAGCAGCTGGCCCCAGCTTCTGCCGGCGGGTCCCTCCCCATTCCCACCCAGAGCAGGCACTGACCCTGGGGTGGACACTCTCTTCACATGACAAGGTCCCTCCAACGATCCCCTCCAGGTGGTCAGAGAATGTTTTCCAAGCCACTAACCTGATTCCCCCCTAAAAACACTACGGGCTCCCCCTTGCCCTGAGTGTCCGGCTGTCGATGGCTTTCAGACCCTGCCTGTACCTGGCCCTCCTGTCCAGAATCCCCTCCTCTCCCCACTACCGACCACACACACACGCTACCCCAGGGCTTCTGCACAGCCTCGCCCCACCCCTGACACACTCCCCTAAGCCTCCCAAGTGCCTTGCACAAGCTTAGAGTTCCCTTCCTGCCCTCCTCCGGCCTGCACACTCCGTCACCCGTCACCTCGCAAGGACTCGGCACAGGCCTCCTCTCCTCCCTGAAGTCTCCCTTTGCCCCCTCCTTCCGCTAGGCTGAGCTGGGTGGCCCCTTGGCCCCTGTGCACAGCATCGCGGGGCGGACCAGAGTCTTATTATCTTTGTATCCCTGGATCTGGCGCAGGCAGGTGTAGGGGACTAGGTGACGGCCTCCTTACGAGTACGCTGAACAGCCGGGTGCCTGTTCACCCAGCCCGTGTCCCCAGACCCAAGTACTCCCAGCGTGTACCCCAGGTCTGGGAGGACAGACTGCGGCCTGCAGGCCTGGACGCACATCCTCCCCTTGACCACTCAGCTGGAGACGGGGGGGGGGGCGGGT